TACTTTTTAATATTAAGCTCTAGAAATTAATAGTATTAAATTTAAATTAAATTTATAAAGCAAGAGTCTTTATTTATAAATAGAGAATTATTAGATATAACGCTTTAATAATTATTATTTTCATTAATAATATTATTAGAATTTCTATTAATATTAGAATTAATATTATAATCGCTTAATTATATAATAAATATATTTTAATAAAAATAATTTATTAAATTAAAAATATCGCTAATTAATTATAATAAAATATTTCTATTTTATAAATTAATAAAACTAGCTCGCGAGTTATTTATTATAGTTAAACTAGATAACTTTATATAAATAAAGTTATTAAAATTATAAAATAATAAAGCTTCTTTTAATAGAACTATATAATAATTATATAATTATAAGATCTAGATATATAATTAATAGAATAGATAAATCGATTATTAAATAAATTAATAACTAAAAAAAAAAGAAAGAGAAAGAAGATTCGTAAGTATTTAAGACTTTATTAAGTATATTAGATACTCGTCTTAGCTATATAGCTTATAGTCTAATAAGCAATATAAGCGAGTCTATTAATTCGCTTCTTATACTTTTACTCTTATAAATATATTAATAGTTTATTAACTCTATATATATAAGTATTCTCTTTATATAAACATTATTAGATAAGTAATTTAATAAGTATTATACTTAATAATTAAATATATTTTATTTACTTATATTTTATTCTATAATATACTTTTATTTTAATACTTTTTAAATATTTAATATAATTTTTTTATCTATTATAATTATATTCTCTTTAAACTATTTATAATAAAACGAGTAAAGGTCTATAAATTAAATTTATAATTATTATTTTAATTAAAGCTATCGAGTAAATAGATAAGTAATCTTTAATAAGCGAACTTTAATAAGCGATATTTAAATTCCTTACGCTTAAATAATTATAAGACTAAATTTCAAAAAATTTTAAAATTCGAAAAGCATAAATAGCGCTTTAAAATTAAAAAAAAATCTTAGAATTTTAATAGAAAAAAAAAAAAAAATTCTATATATTAATAATATATATCTGTTTTTTTAATAAGAAAGGCGTAGAAGGGCGAGATTTTGATAATTACGAATATTAATTTATTTACTTATAATAAGTTAGTCGATCTAGCTAAAAGACGTAATAACCTCGAATTAATAATTAGCTATATATATAAATTTAGGATTTTTAAGCTTAATTCTATCTTATTCTTTTATATATATTAATTTAAATATTATATTATCGCTATAAATAATTATTTCGAAATTAAATATTATATTATCGCTATAAATAATTATTTCGAAATTAATAAAATAAAAGAATTTTATTTAAATATAATTTTAATCTAACTTAGATAATCGTAACTCGAATAATAAAAAAACTTATATACTTTAACTCGTAAGTTACTATAAGAAGTAAGACTATTTCATTTATATTTTATATAAAATTTTTAATAATCTACTCTTATTATTATAAAAGATTTTAAATTATAATAGACGATAATAATTAAATAATAAGCTATTATATAGAGAATTATTTAATAATATAGATAATTCTACTTACGCTGCGTAACGAGACGAGAAACTTCGATAGAATTTTAGAGGATACTATAAGGTCGGTAGAGGGTTTTTCGTAATACTTCGTATAGGCTAGTTATATAATAATAATACCATAAGCATTATTTATAAACAAAGATTTATGATAAGATTTATCATATCTACTCTAAAATTCTCTTATAAGTTTTTCTCATATTAGGTATATTTCAATATTATAATATCGTAACTTAAAAATCCTTCTGGGAGTCTTCTAAGAAAGCGAGTCTTCTATGAAAATTTCCGTAAATACGAGTATTAAGTCTTATTTTCGAAATTTAACTATTATATATTATATTTACGCTTTTTTATTTCTAATTTCAGATTCGAGCGATTTAGTAAAAGTTCTCGTAAGAATATTATACTCGAGATTCTTATAAATAGTAGTTAACTAAGATAATATAGATTAAGATAATATAAGCTAAGATATATAATAAGAGATTATAGTAGTATTAGACTAAGATATAAAATATAACTTAGTTATTAATATTAATATCGAGAAGATCTTCTAATCTAGAGATCTTCTAAGTAAGAAATCTTCTAGAATTTAAAAATACTTCTAGAATCTCTATAAAATACGATTTTATTTTATACTATAGCTACTTATACCCTATATCTTATTAATACGAGTCGAAATATTCCCCGCCTATAATTTTACTAAGACTCTTCAGATATGATTAGTAAAACCCCCCTATCGATCTTAAAGTAGAGTCGAGGTCGGGGTGAGATTTCGGATCGAGGTTTCGAGTTTCCTCGAAACTCTAACCTCGCTTCGATTCGAAAGCGAGGTTTCGAAGTATACTTCGTTATCTTAATAAACTCTAAATATCTCTAAGTAATCTCTCTAAATTTTAATAAAATATATTAAAAATAGAATAAAATAGAGTATAGAATATAATATTATAATCTAAATAAGAGTATAAGATATAGATACTTAGAAAGATAATAAGATATATGAGATTAAGGCGCTATAGAGAATATTATAAAGACGTTATTAAAGTAATAGCTTCGAGCTAATCTAATTAAAAAGCTTACTTTCTTAATACTTAAGACTTAAGAATAAGAATAGATTCTACGCTAAGAAGCTAGTAATTAATTAGATTATCGAATTTTACTATTTTTAATTTAAAATATATCTTATTTCTTTATTTTCGATCTAAACGCGAGTATATATAAATATATCTAAAAGAGAAAGTTGAAAAAGAATTTTAAAATTCTTAAATCTATCTTTTTTTTTTTTTTTTATTTTATTAAAGATATAATAATAAACTAAATACATAGAGTTATAGAATTATTTATACGCTTTTAAATAATATAGCGTAGATAAAATTTAATATAATATTCGTCTAACTATCGAGCTTATAAGAAAAGCCTCTTCGATAAAAGCTCTTAGAGAGCTCTCGAAGAGCCCTCGGAGAGCCCTCGAAGGGTTAGGGGGGTTTTAGAGAGTCTCCCTCTAAGTATATTAAATAAATTATAACGTCTCTCTCGATTCTTAGAGTTAGATCCTTTAAAAACCCTTAAATCCTTCGAAGCTCTTTAAAGGCTCTTCGAGAGTTTCTATCGAGGGGCTATCAAAGTAAACTCGAAATTAATTAAATATTATTAAAATAATTAAATTTCGAGTTTACTTTGACAGCCTCTTTATAGAAGCTCTCGAAGAGCCTTTAAAGAGTTTTCGAAGGGTCCGAGGGGTTTTAGGAAGTCTCCCTAAGAATTAAACAGTCAAAAACCAGTACTCGGCAAGCTTTTCACTATTGGGAAGCCCGCGCCCCAGCACATATTTGAACGCTTGGCGGGGGTAACGGGGTGCCCCCGTTACCCCGTGGAAAAACACCGCCCCGACCCGACCCCACCCCGTTGAAACCCCGGCCCGGAGCGGGGTGGTGTTGGGTACTAGTACCCAAAACCCCGCCCCACCCCGCCTCGTTGCGCAGCGTAAAATTTCTGCTGAGGGGAAGATAGTAATCTCTATTTACTTAGGGTGTATAGGCTTTTTTACTACTCGGGTGAGTGGCTTGGGGGTTGAAGGCTTAATGTGTAGATCGTGCGCGGGAGGCTGCATTAGTATAGACGGGGGACTGTCGGAGGGGGACTGTCCGGAGTCAAGTTGGCCTCGTTTCCTCTCATTTAGTGTACACTTTGCAAGAACACAGCGCTTTTGGACAAGGTCAGACATTCTTGCTCGTACAATAATGCTGGAATCTCATCTACACGGGGCGGCCCTAACAAAGCCCGACTTAATATCACTAAAGCCCTCATTTCATCCTACACTTTCCGCTGTCAAATGCTTTACTGGCCCAATCTATATGTCAATATAGATCGAGACTGGTCCGCCGGTATTGGGATCAGTCTAAATTTCACTTCTGAGTCGCAGGGTCTTAGGCTGAGGGGCTGAACGTCAATTTTTGCGACTAGGAACGAATGTACGTAAATGTGCAGGAAATCAGTAACAATTGAGTGCTCGCACTTGAGCACGCGCATTGCTTGACTCCGTTGATCCAGTCACAAACGAAAAAGCATTTCAAAGCTTAGCACTAGGCTCTGTTCCTCCAGCAAAAGGAAGTCCCAACTTCTCCTTCATATAATCCAAAGCCTCGACGACCTATTTATTTTAAGCGTCAATTAGCAGGGTACTTTGGTATGGGAGTATCACAAACATACTTTTTCATCCTCAAATCTTCTGCCAACCAGCTGCAGTGATACTGGTAATCCTAGGTACCTCTCGGGTCCATCGTCTTAAGTCGTCAGACATTAACACTTCCAAAGCTTTGATATAAAGATTGTATACAGAGATATTGAGAACTCACAAAGGTTATGATTATATCGATCCTGCTCATTTTTTGATACATAGTCGGCATCTTGAATATCAAAAGCTGGGTCCACCGTCGTTACTGGGAATACTAGCGCGGGATAGTCAAGAAGATTCCATTGACTCGTATAACCCCAGTAACGACTGGAATCTAACGGTGGCGCCACGCCCGGAGTAGCAGGACAGAGGATCACATCCACAGCGCCCTCCCCGTTATTAGTCACGCCGGTGGCAGTTGAATTCCAATCTATAGAGTTCAAGCTTGTACATAAACAACATGTACGACTTTGGGGAGACTTACGCTGTGTGTACTCATAACAGTATTTATCTCTGTTTGCCTTCACCTCTAGAACCTCCGCAGCAGTACGATGCTTGACGTATGGATTCTCCTTTATGATAAATTCTGATAGTGGACGCCACGGTTTACCAGAAGATTCGATCAACTCCGTAGTTTGATCTCCCCCATCCATATAGTAAAGGCTTGCCTTCACATGCGTCAATACAAATTTTCAACGTGTTAATTCTAGTGAACCAGTAAATGGCGGAGCTTACGATTAACTCCCACGCAAAGTTATGCTTGTATGGCTTCCAATCCATTAACAACTTCCTTAAGAGCTCTATTTATGGGTGGATGTGGGTTCACGACTGCGTCACTCCATAGAACAGCAATCTTAATCTTCTTGTAGCCGTCACTCTGGAAGTAACTCTCTTCATCGCGCCAAGGGATTGGGATCAGGCCGGGGTCGGTGATCCACGGCTTCGCAGCAAGTACAGTTTTCATAAACAACTTCACACCCTCAAGACTTGTGCTTAATGGACCCAGTGTACCCTGAACATGTCCGGAACCAATTTTCAGGGAGGTCTTACCCATCAAAGGAATACGAGAGGTGGTTGAGCGGAGACCAAAGAGTCCATTGTTGGCAGCGAGAGAGCGGATACTGCCACCTATAGGGAATTAGCATTATAATTCCTCCAAATAGATTGAGGTAATGGAGAGCCAAACCGACATCTGTTCCGACTCCAAGACAACTACCACGAAGACCCATCAATGATCCCTCTCCACCAGAGCTACCACCAGAGGTTGATGATCGATTGAAAGGGTTGACGGTTACGCCGTACAAGTTACTGGAGGTCTCTAGGTGCATCTGTCACTAGCTTGTTAGCGAAATGCTTAGGAATAGACGTGTTCATACATTTCTAGTTCCCAGAAGTTGAGCAACGCTGATCAGCAAAAGAAGAGTATACTTACTAAGTATTGGAAATGGTATACACTCAATGATCTCATATCATGTAGAATGGTTGTTCATTATCATGTTCTATGAAGAAGTATGTAGTAAGGATGGAGGTAACTACCTATCTATGGTGTAAAGCCACACTAAAACTATTTATTACTATAAGGCGTAGTCATAATATCTATTTAGAACTTAGTAGTGTATAGAAATCCTAGCCTTCTATTTACTGGCCGGAAAGGTATGGTATGGTATGGGATATTGACCTGCCATACCATACTCTGGTATGGTATGGGTTATTGAGATTTGCATGATCCCATACCTGGTATGGTATGGGATCTTGGCGGGATATACCACGGTATGGTATATCTGTGGTATCATACCATGGAATGGTATATGTATGGGATATCCCGTTGGGATTTCTATATTTAGAAGTATAAGTAGCTATTCTAGTCATCATTCTGGCCAACCATGGCTGGCACTACCATGGCTGGCACTACCATGTCTACCACTACCATGGCTGCTACTATCATGGCTGGCACTACCATGGCTGGCACTACCATGTCTACCACTACCATGGCTGGCACTACCATGGCTGGCACTATCATGGCTGGCACTACCATGTCTACCACTACCATGGCTGGCACTACCATGGCTGGCACTACCATGACTGGCACTACCATGACTACCACTACCATGACTACCACTACCATAACTACCATATGATAGTAGGCTATTTGAATAATAAATAGTGATAGCCATGGTAGTGGTAGCTGTTAAAATATCAGGTATGTGATGTGTAGAACGGACGGATTGATTCTCCAAAACCTCTCCGGGGCCAGGTCCTAAATGCAGTACAAAATCAGGTGGCTGAAGAATACGGTGGCTGGGATGCGCGGGGGCCACATTTCGACAGTAGCTATGGTAGTGATAGTTATGATAGTGAGTGATAGTCATGGTAGTGGCAGCCATGATAGTAGCAGCCATGGTAGTGGTAGACATGGTAGTGCCAGCCATGGTAGTGCCAGCCATGATAGTAGCAGCCATGGTAGTGGTAGCCATGGTAGTGGTAGCCATGGTAGTGGTAGCCATGGTAGTATATCGAATGGGGGTAGATACGATTAGCCGTTGACCAGAATGATGATTAGAATAGCTACTTTATACTTCTAAATATAGAAATCCCAACGGGATATCCCATACATATACCATTCCATGGTATGATATTATAGATATACTATACCGTGATATATCCCGCCAAGATCCCGAACCCATACCAGAAAAATGGAATGGTATCCGACCCTACCCATATCATACCCGAGTACGATATGGTATCACTTGATATGGAATATCCCATGGGATATATTATATCTTTTCGGCTAGTAGTTCTATTAGTTGATTTTAATACTTTTATATAGTCTAAAATAATAATTAAAAATACTATTAGTTTTAATACTTCCATATAATTTAAATTTAGACTATTTCTTTTATTCGCTCTTCTTAAATTTAATTTAATATATAAATATAGCGAATTTATTATTAATAAGAGCTTTAATAAGTTTATTTATAATTATATTATTAATAAATATCTATTTAAATATAATTACTTCTATTTTCACTTAATCTCGTATAAAATATTATTAAATATTAATATACTTAATACGTAAGTAGAAGTAAGAGTCTTTAGTTAATATAATAACTCTCTAATTATCTACTTTAATTAGTATTAGTCTATTAAATAATTTAAAGCTAATATCTAATTCGCTTAGAAGTTTAATTAATTAAATAGCTTTTTTTACTATCTAAGTCTAAGTTATATATTTAATCTTATAAGATAATAATATAATAAACTATTATTATTTAGATATTTAATTAATTATCTTATTATAGAATAAGAATATATAGATTTTAAAAAATCGATAAATTTCTAAGATTAAGATTTAATTAGTATTCATATAGTCTTTTAATATATTAGTTATTTTATATATAATATTATAAGTTAGTATTTTTTTTAGATAATAAATAACTTATTTAACGATTATAATATATTTTAAATTAAAGTTATAATTATATCGAGAAAGAATTATAATAATAAAATAGATATTCGAACGAGTTTAAATTATAAAGTATATTATCGATCTTATTATTAATTAATACTTCTAAATAACTTCTAATTTAGCTTTATTAATTAATTTCTCTTATAATTAAATATTTACTATTATTAATATAGAGATAAATATATAATTAATTATATTAAATCGTAATAATATCTTTCTTAGATATATCGTTTATATAATTCGAATAATTCTCTTTCTTCGATTTCTTTAGATTTCTATATCTAAATAATATAAGTATAGCCCGAGATTGGTTATAGCGAATCGTTTATAAAGATCTCGTTTAAACTTTAATATCTATTTTAATTCTTTTAGACTATAAATCTAGATATTATTTATATATATACTAACGATAAGTTATATTTTCTTATTAATAAAGAGTAAGTAATCGAATTCGATAAATTTAAATTCTTTAATATAAGAAAGTTTTATAAAGTAAAATATTATTCTTATAATAACTATTTTAGACTATATAGTACTCTAAATAACAAATATACTTTATTATCTTTCTTCTTATACTCTTTAAACTATTTTATATAAATAATTCTCTTTAATAATATATTAAGAAATATAATAATAATATTTATTTATTTATAGTCTAGATTATAGTATATTATAATTATAAATAGTATTTTAAATAATATAGACTTAATAACTAAGATAAAGGTTTAATCGTAATTAACGCTATAGATTTATTTAAAATCTTAAATTATCTAGCGTACTTTATAGAGAATAAAGTTATTAAGTTTCTTCTTTATCTTATAGATCTATCTATTAATAAAGATTAATATATTCTTTATTCTCGAAATAAGCTTTTAAATATTTATTATAATAAAGAAATTTATTTACTTATTTATAGTCTTCTTTTATTATTTAATATAGAGACTAGCTATTATCTAATTATAGATTAATAATTTAAAATTATTAATCTTCGTAATAGTCTATTAATATCTTATATTAATTATTTACTAAATAGTAATAGCGAGATCGAAAATAAAATCGAAGTTATAATAATCTAGATTCTTATAACTTAATATAATTTATCTATAGTATAGATATTTCGATTTAAAAGTCTTATTATATTTAATATAAGTAATAACTATTTAAACTCATATATTAGTATTACTCTATTTATTATTTAAAAGAACTTTTTAAAAAGATATAGAATTTCGTTTTAGTTAAAAATTATATATTATATCGAGATATAGATCTAAATAAGTAATAAGACTATCTCGAGATATCTCTTTAATATCTTTATCGTTAAATCCTTCTAAGCCTATATTACTATCTCTTATATCTTCGACTTCTTTAATTTCTTCGATATTTTTATTAAAAAGAATATTTCTAATTTTATTTATATTAATAAGACTTATATCGATATTAGTCTTAGATATATATTAATATACTATAGAGTTATTCTCTATATTAAATATATCTATTATATTATTATTAATAGCCTCGACTAGTTAATAGCCGATATTTAAGATCGTAGTAGTTATTATTCGTAATTTATTAAAATCGATATAGAAGGATCGTTTTACTTATCGAGTGACTAAATTTTATATCTAAAAGATATTTATATCTTCGTAGTTAATTAGATAACACTTCTTACTATATTTATCGAGCTTCTTATACTTTTTCTTAAATATATATATCTAAATAATATAGTCGATAATCTTTATATAGTCGAGATATAATTATTTATCTATTTATATCTTATATAATATTATACTCTAAAGGCGAGTAATAGAACTTCTATTCTTTTAATATACTTTAATATAAAGTAATTCTAATTATAAATAGTAAGATAACTTCGAGTTAAAAAGTATAGTCTTTATTCTATTTATAATAATTCGATTTTATATCTCACTAAGTTCATTTTATTTAGACGTATAGAGTACGATAGACTTCTATATAATTTCGAAGTTCTTAAAATATTCTTTAAACTTACTATTAATAAATTCGATATTATTATCTAAACGAACTATCTTAATCTTATAATTAAATTTATTTTTTATCTAAATTTTCTAGTTATAAAATAATTTAAAGATTTTATTTTTATACTTATATATAAAGTATTAGATTTAAAGAGTTACTTAATTAATTAGAAATATATAGTACTTAACTCTATTAATAAATAATATATTAAAAGATCTTTTCAAGTTTATATAAATCTTATCGAGTTTTTCGAGTACCTCATATTATACTCTTTTTAAAATCTTTTATATAAATTTAGTCTTAAAATAGATCTTATATATTAATCTAATTCGAGGTTTCTAAATTAGTATAATACTCTTACTTATATTAATTAGTCTCTTAAAGTTTATCTTATTTAGATATTTTATTTAACGATATTATAGCTTAATAGCTTTCTTATTAAATATTAAACTTATTATTAAAATCTTTATATTCTTCTAAATAAATATTAAAACCTTAATTATAGATTATAAGATATTAAGAATATAAATATTATTTATTTTTAAAGCGCTATTAATAAGCTTACTATCTTAAAGAATATAATAATTATTATTAAAAAAGATAATTTTAAATTCTTTTTATATAACTTGACTAATCGAAAATAATTCGTATATAAAATTTAGAATATATAAGACTTTACTAACTTTTACGATATTATTAAATCTATTTTATAATAATTATTTTATTTTAACTATATCGTAGCTCTATATCTAAATAATAATCTTATTAGCTATTATAATATCTATACGATATAATTAATAATTAATAAATTTATTCTTATCGAAGAATATATAATTAGTATAATCTAAGTCTATTATTTATTTATAT